TTTTTATAACCTTTTTTAAAACAAAGAGCAATAGATTTAGTTTTTTTTTATTTAACCACTGTATTTTTAAATTAATCCAATTTATTGAGACAAACGACAAATATTTTTTGTTTTAACAGTCAAACACACAATAAAAATTAAACAAATATCTCATTTCTAATGTTTTATATGCAGATTAAATAGGTTTTGAGAAAACATTTGGCTTGTTTCCCGAGGCCACAGAAGAGCGCAATGAGCAAAATAATGCAGCAATGTCTATAAAAAAACTGCATTACGTCTAAATTAACTCATAAATCAAATATAATTTCGTAAATTGCATAAACAATTATGAACAAAATAGCATCATGTATTTGTGCATTGCTTAATACAAGAGCCGAATCGCCCGTCACGCAGATTGCATTTAAAAACATACAGTATGAGACGCAGTGAAAAGGAATAAACCTCCACAAATTTGAGACGTGTTTTCTAAAAGTTTAAACGGTTTTAACTTTTGCATGGCTTTCTATACCTCTCTTGTGTGAGACGTGAGTGCAGCAGTCATATTTGTCCGTCTAGAAAATGCTCTGAATATGCGTTCTGTGTGAATGGCTTGGTTTCGGTTTTAACCTAATCAAGATCTTCTCCGCATTGAGCTTCTATATTTCTCTAATATTTTGAATGAATAACACAGCAGCGACGCATCTTGTTAGCTAGACTAACAAAACATTAAAATGCAACAACGTCACTTACATCATTATCACCGCATCTCGTTCGCCACTGTTGTGCCTGACTCACTCCTAACATTCAAATGCAAATGTTTATTTGAAATTCTAATATACATTTTTTTATTCACAATCTCCTCATCACAGGCAGGCACAGCACTCATTTCAGCATGTGTTCGTGTTTGTGTGTACTGTCTGCGTCACTCATAGCACGTGCCTATATCGTGCACTATATCGAACATTTTTATATCGTTATCGAAGGTGTACCGTCGATAAATATTGATACCGTTTTATCGCCCAGGCCTACTCTGTCATCATTTATTCATGCTCAAATCATTCAAAATCTGTATTATTTTCTGTCATCTGTGGAACATAAAAGACGATCTATTGCAGAATGTCCAGAATTTAAAAAGTAAAGTCAAAGATGGGACTGTCAATCTCCAAAAAAAAACTAAATAAAACAGGGATGCATTATATATCAGAGATTTTTAAGTATATTAGAATAAGTCAATATTGAATATTTAATCATGCATGCCTGATTTTTACATACAGATTACTTTTATCATCATCTAACACTCATCAAAAAAGATTCAACTTAAATGTAATCTTTAGCAAATCTCAAACTGAGATTTTATTTTTTTATACTGCACATTGCACATTTTTGTTATGATGTCTAAATTCAACCGTAGCATTTAAAACTACTGATATCAGTTTTTAGTTTTATTTTTAGGTTATTTAGACAAAATAGTACAGAATTTGAATATGGGTTCTTCCCTACAAAAAAGCTGTGTTGTTATTGTTAACTAAAATCAAAACAAACTATTAAAAATCATTTTCATTTAGAAATGAAATAAACTAAATAAAAATATAGTGAAGTACAAAAATAATTACTAAAACAGAAATTAAAATAACTGAAAATATTAAATTAAAAGCTCTCAAAATATTAAATATAATAATATATAAATAATTTGAATATAACACTGCCAAAAAGCACAATAAAAATAAGGAACAGTTCATTTGCTAAAAATATTATCCTCTGCTGTATTCCTCAAAACTCATTCACACTAGGTTTGATGCCATGTGAAATGTCTTGTTGATTGATTCTTGTGTGTCTGGTCTTTCGCAACAAATCAGGCACAATGCATCTTGAAGCGCTATATTTGAAAAGAACAAGACTGGAGAGCTATGGCAAAGTTTTTTAGTGACTTATATGGACTATATCATTTTGTAGCCCCAAACCCAGCAGAGACAGAGATATATCTTCCTTTGTATTCCATTGAAGAAAGGAAGGTTTGGAACAACATGAGGGTGAGTAAATGAGTACATTTAACATCTGTTCACCTGTTTCTTAAGCTCCTCCACTCTTTTCCTCAGTAGGGCGTTCTCCTCTTCTAGTAAGCGGTACTCTAACGGTCGGGTCGGCAGGGTGGTCTGAACCCCGAGGTCATAATGTCCACCGACGGTCACATCAGTCAACCGCAGCCCCTCCAAACGCCGTCTCTTCAGCTGGAAGGTCGTGTGGTCGATGGGCGCCTCCACCGGCCCCACTTCAAACATGCCATTCTCAAACAGAGGGTCGTAGACGGAGCAAGGGCCCCTGTCGTAGCGCCGATGACCCGCCGTTCCCATCGACATGCAGCCACTCATCGAGGCCCCACCTCCACCCGACATGCCCTGGTCTCTGCAGCTGCCCATATTGGGACATCCCATTCCCAGGTAGTTACCGACGCCACCACCAACGAGGCCAGACATCCCGCCACAGGCACTGCCAACACCTCCTGCTCCACCACCAGCGGTGTTCACCATCCCACTAACTCCACTGGTGACACCCATCATGCATCCGACTACACCCCGGGACGGGGCCTCATAGTCATAATCCTTCCTGACATGCCGGAACTTGCACTTGTTGCCCCGTTGACACTCTCCTTTCAGGTAGTCCCTGCAAATGGGCACCTCGCCGCGGCTCAACGGGAGGTCGGTTGGAGACAATCCCAATCCGGCCGCCACCTTGCCCCTGAGCCGAAGCGGAAGCTCTCCAGTTTTCTTATAATAATCCTCGTCCTCCTTCGAGCCGTGCACGAATCTGCAATTGGTGCGCACGCACTCTTTGTTCTGATGGTCGTGGCAGAAGATGAACTCGTTCTTTTGCACGCCCAAATCGGGAACCTCGTTGAAGTCCGGATGGCGGAAGCGGCAGCGTTTTCCACGCTTGCACACGTTCCGCAAAAAGTCCCGGCAAACACCATCCAGTCCCAAACCGGAGTTGAAAGCACCGTTTCCTAAAGCCCCGCCACCTCCCATGGCCCCGGGACCTCCGTTACCCCCTGCTGAGCCGATCACCCCTGTCGCTCTACCCTCTCCACCCGTCCCAGACCCTCCCTCGTCCCCAGTGCCCACCCCCCTCCCGCCGCCACCCCCACCCCCTCGTCCCCAGTGCCCACCCCCGTCCCGCTGCCACCCCCACCACCACCTGCCAGGTAGGCGCTATCCCGGTCAGGCATGGCGCTCGGCCCAGCGGGAATAAAATGCTGCGCTCATGTGGGTGACAGAGAGATGGAGGTCTTACAAGTGTTCAGAGTTATAGTAGTGCAAGAAGGAGAAGAGCTTAGACTGAAGACGGATGCCGATCACAGATCCACCCGTGCGCCTGTGAATATAATACAAATATATGTAATTTAAAACAATGAATAAACTATTTCTACTCCTATTATTATTATTTTTTGTTTCCATTAAATATAAATCAGCACAACTGTTTACAACATTGATAAGAAGAAATGTTTCTTGCAAATCAGAACTACAGAATTGAAGGATCATGTGACACTGAAGACTGAAAATTCAGCTTTGCATCAAGATCACAGATCCACCCGTGCGCCTGTGAATATAATACAAATATATGTAATTTAAAACAATGAATAAACTATTTCTACTCCTATTATTATTATTTCTTGTTTCCATTAAATATAAATCAGCACAACTGTTTACAACATTGATAAGAAGAAATGTTTCTTGCAAATCAGAACTACAGAATTGAAGGATCATGTGACACTGAAGACTGAAAATTCAGCTTTGGATCACAGTAATAAATTACATTTTATAACATATTTAAATAGACATGCACACAAAATAAAATAAATATTTTAAATAAAATATATAACCTCTTATTGTGTTTTATTTTGAATTTTAATATATTTATTTTCATTTTAAATGTTATTATTTAATATATCTTTAGCTTTTCATCAACTTACGAAACACTACTCGAAATATAAGTATCTGCATTGGTCATTACAGGAAAAACTGACCATCACCAACAACAAATTTCAGATGCATCATTGCAGTGTTTGTGGGGCAGCAGTTGTATGTCTATTAAACTTTTCTGCATTTAATTAAGCCCAAATTGCATCACATAAGGAGGCAACTTCCATTGTGTAGACCATTTCAGACTTAGGCATGCCATACATATTTAGTTTTTGAAACTTGTACTTTTAAAAATTAGGCTAAATCTTGAAAAGTCTCATTCAACACCAAAAATAACTATTTTAATGCTAACATTTCAATTTCTTCAAAGCATTATAATTCTTCCTGGAAATGCAAATCTTGATCCAACATATTATGCCGTTTAACTCAATATTGTTATGGTTTTATGTGGTAACACCATGTTTTGCATAGTAACAGTATTCCTTTAGGCAACATGGTACATGATGAGTACATAATAATACATCAAAAGTACTGAAATAGCACCATGGTAAAATGATAGCATTATATGCAATAACATGGCATTTAAATGTATGTACATTAGAATTTACATCTAAATAAAAGAGTGCAAAAAACAACGTAAAACACTATTTTTTTATATATATATATATATAATGCATTATCAATGCAAGTGCAATCTTCAGCCTGGTATATAATATTTTAGAAGATGATATAGTTATATTGCAATAATTGTAATAATTTCTTTACTAATACAGCAAATCTAAACATTAAAACAACACATTACAGCATATGCTACCTACAGAGTCTTAAAGAAGAAATCATATCTTGTTGACTTGTTCGTTTGTACATTATCTAGACTAAATATACAATATTCAATACTTAATCCATATCACACAAACATGCTGTCCACTCTCAGGCACAAAGGCCTGCTAAAGGCACATGCACAGAACGCAAAGATGAACCTAACCCAGCAACACTACTAAACAACTCACCCAGAGTACACAAGCAGTCGTATCGGTGGGATTAAAGAAACTGTATTTGTACATTACCAATCATACGCATTAAGTATAAATTGGCCGTGAGAATGCTTACATTAGAACATAAATTGCTCTATCAACAACAACTTCCGCTTTTCTTGTTCGAAGCACTTCCTGTGCGGTAGAACGCTGGGAAAACGCACGTCAAAATAAAAGACCTCACAACGCAAAAATTCTGTGGAGATCTCATGGTGCAATCTGGCACACCAATGTGATTTCAAAATTACTGTGGTATTAGAAAGATAAATATTTAAAAAACGCGCCATCATAGTGGTATCATTCCATTAATAAAATGCATTTAAAATAAAAGGTATACAGCAAACGTGAGCACGTGGTATCTCTTAAAGGTCAAAAGTACAAACATTACATAAAAAAAAAAAAAGTTTTAAAGGTAAACATTAACACACACAAAAAATAATTTTTCTTTAAAAATGCCTTGGAAAAAACTAATTCTAGATATGACTATGGCAACATTACTGCTATATATTGGGATTAAATTCAGAGATTTTAATTGATCATTTATGTAATTAACACATAGTTAAACATCCAATCTGGTCAATGATGCGAGTCTCTAACTCAGTGTATATTTTCATGTTGAACAACATAGGAGAGACATGTTGACGAGAACAGCTTTCAACATTTATTTTCATACACGAGTATCAATAAATCACTACAGCATGATGGCGGTCAATAGTTTATTTGTATATTAATAAGAACATCAGACATCCATGTTCATATCTGATAATCTTATAAAGATTCAGTTGTAGAGCAGGAATGCAGGGGGGACATGACCTGTAAAGAAAGAAGAAAGTAAGTCAGTGACACCACAGGTAAATTCAGTATAAAGGATAAGTAACATCACCAGCTGATCAATCACTGCACATTAACAACTTTTGCATAGCAAGCTTTCTGAAATGTTGTTTAAACACGCAAATAATGCATCCTCTCATCACGTGTGCACTAATTTGCACATTTCCTGAACAGAAATCTGAACTTTGGATAAAGCCAGGGTCAAAATTCTCATTTCATTTTGTTGACTGATCAGAGCTAACGGTTTTTACAGAGTGATAAAGGTTTTATCATTCCATAAATCAGAAAATACTGTCGTCCAAAAAAAAACAATTCATCAATTTTTAACAAATAAAATGTTATAAATCTGGTGAATGATCTATGAACAAACCAGTCTGTAAATCCTTCAGAATATAGATGGGAATAAAACTATAAAGTATGGAGTAATAAGTGCCGCTGAAGTGGAGACTTGGACATTGAGAAAATGGCCTTTGCAGATATGTAATGAAATTTAAATCTACAAACGCAAATATATAACAACAAAAACACTTTAATGTGCATTCTGAATGTTTTCTATACACTTCAGAAATAATATGTTATGCAAGCCAAACAGCCCAAAAATGGCATATTTTTTCATTATAGTCAGGGACAAAACTCTAGTGTTTTCAGGTGAACGTTACATGAACAACTCTCATTTTTGGACCATTCAAAGCTTGTATTTTAGCCAGAGCTGGTTAATATGTATTATTATTATTATTATTATTATGTGTACTGAAATGATGTATTAAGAGCTGCAAAGTGATGCATATATTATTATTGCATGAAAAGTATTACAAATAAAAAATAATATATGCAATTGAAGGGCCCCTCACAAGACAGTGGTTTATTTTCCAGTGGGTCTGACGCTTTCAAAAACACCAGCTTCCCTCATGGCATTGAACTCCTTCGTTGAATCGTAATGTTTGTAGAAGTCAGCATAAGCCTGTTTCCTGGGCTCTGTTACTGCGAACTGCAGAAAGACACAAAAACGGTTTCTCAAATTCAAGGAAAACTGTCCATCCAAAAAAATCATTTAACTCCTTCGCCCAAAGATGAAACAAATTAAAGATGGGGATGCAACCAAATATCCAAGACTACAAATTAAGGATCATCTAATGCAAACTAATTTGAACGACTATTGAGGTAACATCATGACAAAAAGTGCTCTTAAAAAAAAGTTTCTTTAACTTAAAGAACCCTTTTGACCAGAGGAAGAGATGAAGTACCAATCATAATTCTGAACAGCCATGAAGACCACAAAGGTCAACTATCGTGCACATAATCATAAAAAAATAGCATAATCTGAGTTATCAGCACATTTTCACTGACCTTGAAGGCGGCTGCTGCCACCAGGGAAAGACCGAATGCGATGGGCAAGTGGAACCTCAAACGCTTGGCAAGGAGGCCTCTCATTGCTGGCTTTGCAAGTGACATTGTTGACTTCTAGAAAGATAAGACAATAATGGGCATTAATAAAAGAAGCTTCATCATACACTGATATCGTACTGCTACGTGCTGTTCTGACCATCACAAATGGATGTCTGTCTGACTTTCAAGACAACCAAACGATGAGCCACAATTGCATTATCTACTAACATTCAGATATATGCATCTCCATGTTTGCTATATATACGTGTTCTTCTGTTCAGGTCTACATTTGAGCGCTTTATCCCTTGCATGATTATGATCATATTATCCTTTATTATCTGACAGAACCGTGATAGAATCTGATGGTACTGCCATATGCTAAGAATACCATGGAGATTCCATATTAATATGTTTTTAAATGAGTAGCAAAAGGGTAATCATACCAAACAGGAAGATATGAATGTTACAGAGCAACTATTTTTAAAATGGTTCCTCAGACTATAATAGATGTAAAGGAAGCAGTGGTGCTATTGTAAATAAAGACACATCTCCGTATCTGTAACTGTTGTGTTCGCAGGTCAGAAGAACAAGGAAGATCTGGGCATTCTGTACTCCAACAGGGCCGCCAGTTACCTGAAAGATGGAAACTGCAGTGAATGCATCAAAGATTGCACAAGGTAAGTGCAACAAACAGCGGGTGCAAAAATGGTTAAAGTGATTATGTTCAGTGTTAATAATCTTAATACTTACCTTTCAGGTCTCTTGAATTGGTTCCGTTTGGATTGAAAGCTCTGCTTCGCCGGGCATCGGCTTATGAAGCCTTGGAGAGATACAGACAGGCGTATGTGGACTACAAAACAGTTTTACAGATAGACTGGAACATACCGGCTGCTCACGATGCCGTTAACAGGTAATTCTGCATAAACAGGATCCAAAATTATGCATGTTCATTCATAGAGAATGCCCTGATCAACTGTATAATGAGGTAATACACAAAATATAATACAAACCCAAAGAATAAAATGTTCATTTGTGAGCATAAGGATACAAAAGTGTACCATAGAACACGTCTCTGTCCCTTGCATGATTATGATCATATTATCCTTTATTATCTGACAGAACCGTGATAGAATCTGATGGTACTGCCATATGCTAAGAATACCATGGAGATTCCATATTAATATGTTTTTAAATGAGTAGCAATAGGGTAATCATACCAAACAGGAAGATATGAATGTTACAGAGCAACTATTTTTAAAATGGTTCCTCAGACTATAATAGATGTAAAGGAAGCAGTGGTGCTATTGTAAATAAAGACACATCTCCGTATCTGTAACTGTTGTGTTCGCAGGTCAGAAGAACAAGGAAGATCTGGGCATTCTGTACTCCAACAGGGCCGCCAGTTACCTGAAAGATGGAAACTGCAGTGAATGCATCAAAGATTGCACAAGGTAAGTGCAACAAACAGCGGGTGCAAAAATGGTTAAAGTGATTATGTTCAGTGTTAATAATCTTAATACTTACCTTTCAGGTCTCTTGAATTGGTTCCGTTTGGATTGAAAGCTCTGCTTCGCCGGGCATTGGCTTATGAAGCCTTGGAGATATACAGACAGGCGTATGTGGACTACAAAACTGTTTTACAGATAGACTGGAACATACCGGCTGCTCACGATGGCGTCAACAGGTAATTCTGCATAAACAGGATCCAAAATGATGCATGTTCATTCATAGAGAATGCACTGATCAACTGTATAATGAGGTAATACACAAAATATAATACAAACCCAAAGAATAAAAATGTTCATTTGTGAGCATAAGGATACAAAAGTGTACCATAGAACACGTCTCTCCTTGCCTTCAGAATGACCAAGGCTTTGACAGATATAGACGGACCATCTTGGAGAGAGAAACTGCCTCCGATTCCCACCGTTCCGATGTCTGTGAAAGAAAGCCTGGCACAAGCCGCCAGCCCGGCCTCCAGCCCACAACAAAACAGCGAGATCGACAACAAGAAAAAAGGTATTTAAACTGAAAAGTGTTTAAAGTGACATGTGGCCAAGTATGGGGTGACCCATACTCGGAATTAGTGCTCTGGATTTATCCCATCCAAAGTGCACACGCACAGCAGTGAACACCCACACACCGCGAACACACACCCGCGAACACACACCCATTTGTTTTTGCTGCGGCACCCAGGGAGCAGTTGGGGGTTCGGTATTGAAGGTGGAAGAGAGCGCTGTACATTCACTCCCCCCACCTACAATCCCTGCCGGTACGAGACTCGAACCCGCAACCTTTGGGTTACGAGTCCGACTCTCTAACCATTAGGCCACGACTTCCCTGTGCCGTACTGAGCGGAGCCATCATGCTTTGCTTGTACTTGTTTTATTCTAAGCACCAGGACCTGAAGCTGCTAAAAAAGCCAAGGCTCTAAAGGAAGAAGGCAATGCGTTTGTGAAGAAAGGCGAACACAAGAAAGCCGTGGAGAAGTACACGCAGTCACTCGGTCAGGACCCCAAAGAAGTCACAACCTACACAAATCGGTAAGAAATGGTACCGGTAATTATGCTGCCAAATGTCAGGGTCCCTATGGTTATTCAGTTCAAAACTGATTTTGAATTTCTACCTGTAAAAGTCATGGACTTTAGGTTTGATAATGTGTGTAAATCAATACTGCTTGTAGGGCTCTCTGCTACCTGTCATTAAAGATGTATAAAGAAGCTATTAGCGACTGTGATGAGGGTCTTCGATTGGACTCTGCCAACATTAAGGCTTTTTACCGACGTGCCCAGGCAAACAAGGAACTCAAGGTAAGTTTATTTCTGAACCATTGTCTTCATTTATTGGGGTCATGAACTGAGAAATCAAAATTCCCTTGATCTTTTGACATATAAAAGTCATGACAACAAGAAAAAAGGTATTTAAAGTGAAAAGTGAAAGTGTTTAAAGTGACGTGACATGTGGCCAAGTATGGTGACCCATACTCGGAATTAGTGCTCTGCATTTATCCCATCCAAAGTGCACACACACACCGTGAACACGCACCCGGAGCAGTGGGCAGCCATTTTTTGTATTTGACACATAAAAGGTCATTGCAGTATAAAAACATCAGGTAAGTTTCAGAACTCAAAACTTTCTCGTTAGTCTGAAAACAGCTTATATTGAAGCAAATATGCCAATAGGACATCATGACGTAATAGTATGGCTAAACCCCGCCTCCGCAGAAGATCCACGCCTACTTCTACATCACTGCCTGTTTAGCCCCGCCCACAATTCACGCATGTAGTGTAAACGAGAGAGGCAAATGCAGTCTATGCAGAAACCAAACGATAAAGATGCTCTGAAAACAAAGCTGTGCAGTGCCAACCTGTGGAAAAATCGACCTTTGCATTGCCTTTCTTCTGATCTCAATATTAGTAAAGAGTGGATGAACTATGAACTATGAATCTAGATGCGTCAGTAAGAATTCAGTCCATTGTTCACTACATTTGATCACGGATTCGTTTGCAAACAAGGCACAATTTAATGCTGGATTTTCAGAAAGATTGAAACTAAAAGACAATGCTGTGCGAATACATTGGATCCAACAGTAATGTCGCATCACACAAGTGGGAGTAACTGTTTTTATTATGTGGTCACTATTGCTTTGTCTGTTATTACAGATCAGTTGATATGATCTGAGTATTTATGCATTTTTAACATAAATCACAGGAGCGTCCATCTGTATGAAGGCTGTGTAGGCTGTCAAACATTCACAACTGTTAGCCAGTCATAGCAGTGGGCGTTTACTTCCGAGTCTACAATCCACCACGTCCATTCAAACTAAGGGGGGTTAAAAACAGGACAGAAAATAGCCATATTACTTCTAAAGATGTTTTTTGATGTAAAAATCTTGATAATATTATAAGTGGACCTCAGAGAACAGTACAAAAATAATTAAAAAAAAAGAAAAAGGCAGTTCATGACGTCTTTAGTAAAAATTGGTGGATTGTTTTATAAATTGTAATACATTTCTTTCTCTTAGAACAAGAAATCTTGTATTGAAGATCTCAACAGTGTGCTCAAACTCGAGCCAAACAACGCGGTGGCGCAGAAACTACTGCAGGAAGTACAGCAGATGAAATAACCGTGATTATAAAGTGAACATGAGGAAACTTTCCCCAAGTGCCTCAAATTGATTTGCCTCTGCAATGTTTGCTACAGACTTTAGATATGCACATCATAATGTTATTTTAAAACTAGGAAAACATTTGAGTGTTGATGTTCATATAGACACATTTGACCGGGTGTATTGCCATTAATAAGGTAATCAGGTTTCTTTTCTGAAACTCTGTGTCTGAGATCAAACTTGTTCTGGTAATTACATTTGTCCATGTAATCAGTAATGAATCATATGTGAGGTTGATTTAGCATGTGATTTTAATGTCTTTTTCATTGCACACTGAACTGAATGGCTCTTTTTCAGACAAAAATGTAATTCCTACTTCACTTTAGATTGACAACTCAGAAAGGCAGATAGTATTTGGGCTGCGTTTTCTACTAAATGTGTTTATTTTTTGGCAAAGATGTTGTATTGTTGTGGGTTAGTTACTGTCAAAACCAATTAGTGTTTATATACATTTGTAAAGACTTGGCACCTGTATTTATTGATGTTTCATATGCCATTTTTCATCAAGACAATGTAAACAGGTCTTTATTTTATTTAAAGTAATGTGCTGTTATGCATCTGATAATAAAGGAGAATGTTCAGGAATATTGTATTTTTTCATCCTGTAAACTGGCAGATGTAATGCTACGATCAGCGATGACTTTTTGTAGGAATTAGCAATACTAAAAAGGCAAAACAGTAAATGCTATGTATACAGGTAGTATAACTGAATGAAAGCAAAAATACATGCTGTCAATTACCAATTTCAAATTGTTCCTCAGTTTGTAAGAAACAAGTTATCTGAACTGTAAACATGCCTTAAATTGAATATAAAGTCACAGTAGTCAACTTCAAATATTACTGTAAATGTTTTTTTTGTACAAAATCAACAGAATGCCACAGATGATTGAACTTGAATAATTCAACCAAAAATGAAAATATGCTGAAAATTCTGTCACCATCAGGCCATCCAAGATGTAGTTGAGTGTTTCTTTATCCGAACAGAATCAAGAGAAATTCAGCATTATATCACTTGCTCACCAGTGGATCCTCTGCAGTGAATGGGTGCCGTCAGAATGAGTCCAAACGGCTGAGAAAAACATCACAATAATCCACAAGTAATCCACACCACTCCAGTCCATCAATTAATGTCTTATGAAGCCAAAAGCGGAGTCCTTGTAATAAATCCATCAAGACATTTTTAACCTCAAACCATTACTTCTGGTTAGAATCTGCTATTAATATTGCTTTCTCCAATTAAAACATCGAGCGAAACGGGAGAAATATGCACAGGTCAAGCACTGTTAACAAGCAAAAAGTCCAAAACAGGTCTAAACAAATGTCAGTAGGTTTTGAAGGACTTATAATACTCCTATTTTGACCAGAAGCAACGGTTTAAAACACCTTGATGGATTTGTTTCTTACAAACACGCAGCTTTTTGCTTCACAAGATGTTAACTGATGGACTGGAGCGGTGTGGATTACTTGTAGTTTACAGTGATGTTTTTATCAGCCGTTTAGACTCATTCTGACGGCACCCATTCACTGCAGAGGATCCGTTGGTGAGCGAGTAATGTAATGCTACATTTCGCCAAATCTGTTCCTATGAACAAACAAACTCATCTACATCTTGGATGGCCTGAGGATAAGTACGTTTTCAACAAATTTGGTAAACCATTCCTTTAACTGGTATTGAACCTGGAACATTCCCTTAAATGCTTATTTAAATAGGCATAAAAATGTACACACCATTTAAATCTTTCTAGGAGAGTGAGAAGACCGTGCTGCTTGTGTCTTCTGAACTGAATGTACACCACTACAAAAACACAATACAGCACAATTTGGAACTGATAAAACTTTTATTTCACTTTAAATTGTCTTTTACACTTTCCTGATTATAACATGTAAGGTGAAACTAGAACTGTTTTAAAAGACATACACGAATCTAGTATTACGTCAATAACCAGGTTTTATATTGTTTTTTGTCATTTTATAATATTTTTTTTTTCCCTTAAGCTAGTCTAAATTTTCACAACCACGTGCGCGCTAAGCAATGAAACCGTCACAGAAGCTAACTTTAGGCAGAATACTGGTCAGTAAAAACAAAGCAATTGGAGATACCAGATATACAGACAGGCTCGGCTCCACATTCACTACTGTATTTTTTGTAATCAAGCGTAGAATAACTGCCATTTGTTCAGCTAAGGGGAGAGAGAGAGAGATTTCGTCTTCAGTGCATGAACATTGTCTTAGATGTTAACTGATGGACTGGAGCGGTGTGGATTACTTGTAGTTTACAGTGATGTTTTTATCAGCCGTTTAGACTCATTCTGACGGCACCCATTCACTGCAGAGGATCCGTTGGTGAGCGAGTAATGTAATGCTACATTTCGCCAAATCTGTTCCTATGAACAAACAAACTCATCTACATCTTGGATGGCCTGAGGATAAGTACGTTTTCAACAAATTTGGTAAACCATTCCTTTAACTGGTATTGAACCTGGAACATTCCCTTAAATGCTTATTTAAATAGGCATAAAAATGTACACACCATTTAAATCTTTCTAGGAGAGTGAGAAGACCGTGCTGCTTGTGTCTTCTGAACTGAATGTACACCACTACAAAAACACAATACAGCACAATTTGGAACTGATAAAACTTTTATTTCACTTTAAATTGTCTTTTACACTTTCCTGATTATAACATGTAAGGTGAAACTAGAACTGTTTTAAAAGACATACACGAATCTAGTATTACGTCAATAACCAGGTTTTATATTGTTTTTTGTCATTTTATAATATTTTTTTTTTCCCTTAAGCTAGTCTAAATTTTCACAACCACGTGCGCGCTAAGCAATGAAACCGTCACAGAAGCTAACTTTAGGCAGAATACTGGTCAGTAAAAACAAAGCAATTGGAGATACCAGATATACAGACAGGCTCGGCTCCACATTCACTACTGTATTTTTTGTAATCAAGCGTAGAATAACTGCCATTTGTTCAGCTAAGGGGGGAGAGAGAGAGATTTCGTCTTCAGTGCATGAACATTGTCTTCAGCACAAGACAGATGAGTTCTACACCTAAGTGGAATGTTATAGTGATGTGACAAGGTATTGTGACACTGAGTGAGTGACTACCCCTATAAAAATGTTTGAGGTCTCGGCTTGTGTTTCACAGACTTTGGGCCAAGACTTCAAAGCCTCCACTGGATTGCAGCACTTCCCTGCACCATAATTCAAGTTAAATCCAGAATTTCTCAGTTGAACTGCTAAGGTCTTACAGAAATTCCTCTCTTAGCAGGAATGAAGAGTAGAGAAGTTCAAAGTCAGTCTAAGGCCCCAAAATTCCTTCTGATTTACATGAAGAGGGAAACATCAAGCATCGACTTCTGTTCGTGAGAGGGTTGAATAACTTTATAAAAAAATTAAAAAGTGTTTTTGCAAGTATTTAGTTTGAAGACAAATTATATTTACCTCTAAAATGTGTACAATTTTACATCTTTATTAAATGGAAGTGCGTGTGGGCAATATTACGTCAAAGGGTGAAAAAATAAAAATGTACAGAACAAACCAGGAAAATCGTTTACTGATGTCAAACAGCACCTTTATGTTGACTGCCTCATTGACAGCACATTAGGAAACTCTCCAGTTTGTTCACGAAAGGTCTGTAATCATCACACACTAATGGAATGTCTTTAACTTAAAACTGAATAGACATGGAATTGCAAATCTCGGGTCCCTTTTGTCGTCAGCCGTGTATGCAAAATTATGCACACGACAGCAATAATAGTAATGCATGTTAGTCAGTGTCACAATACAGCCTGTTTTCATCCCTTCTGTATGAGATCGCAACAGAATTGTACTGCTATTTGTATCGAAACCATTCCGATTTCCATTAAGCACAAGCTATCCAGAAGGAAAAACTAAACGTCACAGTGTTTGTTAAATTAATGGACAGTTTAATAACCTTTTGAATAAAACCAGCAATCGCCAGTACACTACTTGTGTTTCACAGACTTTGGGCCAAGACTTCAAAGCCTCCACTGGATTGCAGCACTTCCCTGCACCATAATTCAAGTTAAATCCAGAATTTCTCAGTTGAACTGCTAAGGTCTTACAGAAATTCCTCTCTTAGCAGGAATGAAGAGTAGAGAAGTTCAAAGTCAGTCTAAGGCCCCAAAATTCCTTCTGATTTACATGAAGAGGGAAACATCAAGCATCGACTTCTGTTCGTGAGAGGGTTGAATAACTTTATAAAAAAATTAAAAAGTGTTTTTGCAAGTATTTAGTTTTAAGACAAATTATATTTACCTCTAAAATGTGTACAATTTTACATCTTTATTAAATGGAAGTGCGTGTGGGCAATTTTACGTCAAAGGGTGAAAAAATAAAAATGTACAGAACCAGGAAAATCGTTTACTGATGTCAAACAGCACCTTTATGTTGACTGCCTCATTGACAGCACATTAGGAAACTCTCCAGTTTGTTCACGAAAGGTCTGTAATCATCACACACTAATGGAATGTCTTTAACTTAAAACTGAATAGACATGGAATTGCAAATCTCGGGTCCCTTTTGTCGTCAGCCGTGTATGCAAAATTATGCACACGACAGCAATAATAGTAATGCATGTTAGTCAGTGTCACAATACAGCCTGTTTTCATCCCTTCTGTATGAGATCGCAACAGAATTGTACTGCTATTTGTATCGAAACCATTCCGATTTCCATTAAGCACAAGCTATCCAGAAGGAAAAACTAAACGTCACAGTGTTTGTTAAATTAATGGACAGTTTAATAACCTTTTGAATAAAACCAGCAATCGCCAGTACACTATTGGAGATAAGCGACAGAAGGGAAGAATGGTGGGGGGGGGTGGTGGACACTATAATGTATTATATCCTGCTAGACCAGAGAATATATACCTTTTATAAAATGTTACGAGGGATTTTAGGAAGGAAAAAAAAAAAAAAAGGAAATCGTTTCCACTATTCAACCATTTTCTCTCGTCTGGGGAGAAAATACACAATCAGACATGTTTGAGACAAGTCAGCCTTGGAAAAACCAAACTTTTCCCTGCCGCTCGTGGCTTCAGGGGTACAACCTTGTAGGTCAGGTACAATTCATGCGGCTCGTCATACAGAAAGGTGGATAAAGGTGAGGTGGATTGGATGGAGCAGGGAATTATGGGCTGTATATGTGTAAGATAAAGAGTGTAGGTGGATTTAACAGTGAAGTGCAACGCCTTTAGTTCTCGCCCTCGCCAGCATCCCCCTCATCACCCTGGTTTTCTGATGTCCACAGCTGCAGAACGAAAGGGGAAAAAAATGTGTTAAAATGATACAATGATCAGGCTTCCAAGGGTCCAAAATTAACTTTATACCACACTGACCAATGGCGTAATATTAAATATTTCTTATTGGCAAAAGTTTGCATTATTCATATTAAAACTACACTGCCACTAAGACAGGGTTTCTGCAGGTTTTATGAAGGTAAAGGTATGATTCAAGATATCAAAAGTTGACAAATTCAACTTACCACAGATCTCCATTACTTTGTAATTCATTTTACACTATTTCTGTAATTCATCTTGAATATTTCTTCTCCTAACCACTAGAATATGGAGATAACTTTTACTGTACCTTCTGATAACATTGCAAAAAAAAAAAAGTGTTGCTCATCAATATTTGTCTTGTTTTCCAGTGCAAATATCTAAGATTCTTAAATCAAGATGACAAGAAGTCTTGTTTTATGAAAAAATAAAGTGAGCTATCAACAAATATCTGCCAAATATCATACCACACTGACAGATGTGTTCTTTTAAGCAAAACCTCATTTAATTTTGTGTCATTTCTCAAAAAACATGACATCATATTTTCAATTTGAATCTCCAGTAAATGCATCTTGATTTAAGAATGTTGGATATTTGTTTTGGAACGCCTAACAAATATACTGATTAAGATATTTATTTTTTCACCTTTAATGCCATGAATTTAAGACTACCTGCTGTGATTTAAGACCTTGTGATAAGACCTGAATTTGTGAAAGGGTGAGTTAAGACTAAGACCTGCAATTCATAAACTCAAATTGTTATGGTAATAATAACTTGTAAATGACAAAACTAGCATGGCTCAAACTATCATTTTTAAAGTTTGATTTAATAATGAGTAATCTAAATAGTCTACATTAATTTTGAATTGTTCATTTTAAGCAAAGATTAATTTTGGGGTCGGTCTACACCTATAAAAGCCAAAGTTGGCACTTACAGTGAGGTTGTCCCTTAGTAACTGCATGATCAGGGTGCTGTCTTTGTAAGAGTCCTCGTTTAAGGTGTCCAGCTCAGCAATTGCCTCATCGAAAGCCTAAGGTGAAAGCAAACATGAGGGTAAGTTCTGTTGTCTTCCTGTACACTGGAATTGCACACTATTTTTCAGTATAAATTCATTTAGTTTCACATTCCAAACTGCTTTTTGAAAGTATTCACTGAATGTTGCACATTAATAAGATGGGATGAAAGAGGAAAGTGTACATTGTGTGTACCCAACACAGAAAAAGTCCAACTCAAACAAGTTGTAGATGAACAGATCATTGTCTAACCGTTTTTGCCAAACTGCAGGCCTGCTCTGGGGTGTTGAGGATTTCATAGTAAAACACGGAGAAGTTCAGTGCTAGTCCCAGCCTGATGGGGTGTGTTGGCTGCATTTCCTTTTTGCTGATCTCAAATGCATCCTGGTAAGCCTTCTGAGAGTTGTCCACTGTGGCTGCAATTTGAGAGGAAACAAAATCAAATTAATGACCATCACATCACAGCCTGAATGTTCTGATGCTTTGGCTAGCAACTATTCACTCTTAGGACCGGACCTTAAACTTCAGCATTATCAGTTCCAATCATTTTCTATTAGTCCATCTTCTCCCTAATGAATAGATTTAACAGATTAATATTTAGGCAACAAACTTCTTGCTTTAAAGAAAATGAGCTCACTTTTCTTTGCTTCTCCAGATGCCACCTCGGACAGGTATCTGTAGTAGTCTCCTTTCATTTTCAGGTAGAAGACTTTGCTCTCTGCCTGGCTAGCGTTGGGAATGAGGTACTTCTCCAGGAGACCCTGAGAGAACAGAGATAAGACTGACATTAAGCTATGACCATTAATATTACAAATAAATGAAAAGCACTGACCTTCAGAAAGAGGAAAAAGCAACTTTCTTAAAGGTAAAGTGTGCATTTTTGATCCATCCTAATTGCAATTTTCATATGAGCAGTTTCATGTTACAAATAAAATTGATTTCTTTTGCTCTAACTGTAAAGTGACCTGCCTTGCTGCCTACTTAAACGTAAAATTAATTGCAAATTAAATCAGGTGGAACTTCTAGAACTCAAATGTTTTCTTCACACGTCACGTCTCTCACCAACACATCGTTGCAGATCTCCTGAAGCTCGGCCTCGATCTTCTCACGGTATTCACGCGCCATCTGCTGTTTCTTCTCATTGCCCTCTGTTTTCTGCTCGATGCTGGAGATCACGCGCCAGGACGAGCGGCGGGCGCCCACCACGTTCTTGTAAGCCACGGAGAGCAGGTTGCGCTCTTCGTTGGAAAGCTCAACGCCACCCTCTGTGACGGCCTTCATGGAAGCAGCCATGTCATCATAGCGCTCGGCCTGCTCAGCGAGCTTTGCCTTCTGCACTAGGTCACTCTTGTCCATGATGCAACTACAAAAGTAGGAGAAAATTTATAGTTAGATAACAAAATGCACGTTGGAGAGTTAATTTTCCTTTGCCTATAGTCTGTATGAATATAATAAAATTAAGTCAAGTTTGGTGTCGCTTAGTGAGCTTGGCTGACCTCCTTTTGTTGTAAAGAGGTCAATTTTCAAGTTGGTGCCAATTTTGACCTGCACCAGATACTATTATTAAATTTGGGACTTATGGAGATTTAAGTCATACTGAAGGCTACCCATGAACGATTATGTAAGAGGACCAATGCTAAAGCACAGCTATGAAGTTGCAGTCATTCAGTGACTGTCTCAGAGACTCTATCTCAATGCATTCATCACTGAATCAGAGTGAAAAACATCAGTAAAATCCCATTTGAGGTTATAACACTAACTGATGAAGAGCATTACCTGAAACCAGCCTAGTTAAACAGAGCTTCCTTAAGACTGATTAGTAGACTAGTCGGTTTTGAAAACAGGCAGGTTTGCACATTAAAACGGCATTCGCACTATTCTTCAAGTAAAATTACTTCAGATCCCACACAATGCAAAATAAGGCCACGTTTGTGTTTTTCTTTTCTATAACTTTTTCGGTAACACTTTACAATAAGGTTCCATTAGTTAATGTATTAACTAACATGAACAAACAATGAACAATACATTTATTACAGTATTTATTCATCTTTGTTAATGTTAGTTAGTGAAAATACAGTGGTTCATTGTTAGTTCATGTTAATTCAGAGCATTAACTAATGTTAACAAGCACAACTTTTGATTTTAATAACGCATTAGTAAATGTTGAAATTAACATTAAGATTAATAAATGCTGTAGAAGTATTGTTCATGTTAATTAAAGTAGTTAACTAATGAACCTTATTGTAAAGTGTTAAGGTTTTTACCTCTTTGAACTCATTTAAATTAAGATTCTCTACTGATCAATCATCATTTTGCTGACTAAAATTCACCAAACTTGAACTTTGGTAAAACGTTTTTAAAAATTTTGAAAATTATATAAACACTTTGGTAACACTTTATAATAACTTTCATTTATAAATAATTAACAAACATTATATAATGCTTAACAGCATTAGTTAATATATATTTCACATAGCTAGAAATATGAGATGTTCTTGTTAATGTTTACTAATGAACTTACTCAACATTACCTAATGATTAACATATGATTATTTAATGTAAATTGAAATGCTTACAAATGTCAGTAAACTTTCAGTTCATATGATCTTCATTTGTTTGTCTTTGTTGTGTAGACCTCTATTTTCACATCTTAACAAATAATTTAATTATTTGTTCATGTTTTTGCAGTACCCCAATCTAAAGTGGAAATTATTCATAATTTGCAAATGTTTATAAAAGTTTACTAATCATTAATACCTTTATGAACAGTCATCTCAATGGCAAAATGTGTCCCGAAAGACCTGAATTTACCCTATTCACACATCTTTAATAATCACTTATTAATTATCTGTTCATGTTTTTGCAGTAGCCAATCTAAAGTTGAAACTATTCATCATTTGTAAATGTTTATGAACGATTACTAATCTTTTAGTATCTTTATGGGCATTGGACTTTTAGCTAATGGAACAAGGTTTGTGTAAAGGGTGGCTGGTTAAGTTTATCTAAATGCTTGCTAAAGACATCACAGATTGTAATTTTGGTGCAAAAAATGTTTTTATTGCCTCAACACTCACATTAGTATACTACTCTTCAGTATATCAACAGGATATTCCTTGAATCATAAATAAACAGGAGAAAACAACTCATTTCTTATAGAAAATACTTGTTAATTGATCAAAACAATATAATATAAACAGATTGAACCGTGTTTCCTTATCAAATTGACCCCTGTACACTGTTGACCCTTTAACCGACCCTTAAACCTACCCATGCCACCAGACCTGTCCCTAACCTTTCCCGTATCACACCTCAACAGCAGCAAAAGTGTTGTGCATTAACACAAGCTTTTAATCATTTTATAACATCTGTTCAAATCATTTGTAGATTTTCAATAAGTGCTTGATCATATGGAATTGAAAGTTTAATGGCATTTGTAAGCATTTTAACTTGCATGAAATAATGATTTGTTTGAACTAATGTTTAATAAGTTTATTAGCAAACATTAACAAGCGCATTATCTCACGTTTCTAACTCTTTGAATATATATTAACTAATTATCCATCAAGCATTATTTGATTTACTAATGAAAGTTATTATAAAGTGTTACCAACACTTTAAACAGAAATTAAGTTTGGGGTTTTATTTTGCCATATAATGCTTTATAAAATATTACCAAGCATTTCTGCATAATGAATCAGGTTTATCTATAGATAATGGCATTAGTAGTGCTTAACCTCAAAGACTTTATTTTTTGGTAGAATAAGAAATACATGCACTCCATAATGTTTGTTTTACCTTGACAGTAACAGTTTCTGAGAAACTTATAAACACTTTTAATAGAGAAATAGTTTTATTTTGCCATATAATGCATTTTTTTATATATATAAATAAGATTACCATGCATTTTATGTATTATTATAACCCAGGTTTACCCATAGATAATGGTGTAAGCTGTGGTTAACCTAAAAGACTAGTTTTAGGTCAATAAATATATGACCACCATAACATTAGTTATACTTTGATTTTACATTGACAATTGTTCTCCGCACCAAATTGACAAATAATCAGGTCATATTTGTAGCTCATACTGCACTGATGCAGTGGTTTCAGGATTTCTGAAATATATAACCCAATTAAAAAGTAGGTCAAAATCCTTATTTCTAAAACACACAATGGCTTATCCACCTCTGCGTATTATAACTGGTCAAAGTCTAAACCAAACCCACTAAGTTAGATCACCTGTTCTAAATCACATATAACCCCAGGTTTTTGGCTGCTGCTTAATATTACATTTATCCAATTGTCCGTCTACCTTTGAGCAAGGTCATGGAATCCGACATGGAATCGGGATTCCAGCAGGCCACGGTGGGGTTTCCTACACTGTTTTACACGGTCCCTTACGTCACAAGGACCATGGTAACCAAAGCCCTGCGTGACGTAGTTAGTCGCCATAGCAACCGTTGCCAGGAGGCGCTCGACAGCTTGCTGAATTCGAAATGGAAGCTTGTGAGATTAATAATAATTGGAACAACAGAAGATGATGGTTACTCGATCTCAGACTATGATCTATATTTTCTCCGATGCACCTGAAGCACGTGCAATATTTGTAATGACCATTACAAGCATCTCTCGTTTCTGTTTTTGTTCATAGTAATATTAGTCATTTGTATTTGTGTTGTAGCTATCACTTTTTTCACACTAAAAATGCAGCTGAAAAAAAAACAAGTTTTAAATGAATCATTCAAATAGAAAGAAGTGAAAATTGTGTAAAATAATTAATAATAACAATAAATAAATACATTTGTTTGTACTAAAAGATGCATGGTCAATGTCACAAACCTGCTTATTTGATTAATAGCGCAGAATGTTAAATATCTGGTTTTCCTAATTTTATGTCATAACTTTTTCTTTTTTTACTAGCCTATATCTGCCTATGAAAACACTTGCCTAGCCTATCATCAACAAACATCAACAAATTCTCTTGAATTATTTGTTAAGTAAGATTTAGCCTTATGCATTTGTTAATGTACAATGATAACACATATGAATGAACCATAATTAATTTTTTTTAATAGGCCAAAAATACAAGACAACTCATTTAAACAGGGTTTTATAACACTGAAACTCCGCGCTTGTAATACACAGAAGTCACCAGTAGGGTGTAGTGTAGATCTCTACAGTGACTCAAAGAGGTCAGTCTGGTAGTTGCTTTAGTTTAAATAAAATGTTTCATTTTACATTGGCTTGTATGACACAGACATAATAAAGCCTGCCGTTTTAACCAAAACGGGAGCATTACTAAGATTACAGTCTACACAAACAGCAATTTGTTGCAGAAGTTGCTCCATGCAGGTGCAATCTCATTGGAGTTTGTATTGCTTAAAGTCAAATGACATTTGTTAGTATCTAGGCCATTTTTATAAATGGTATGACGTCAAGTCACAACGATGACCTAACCAGGTTTTCATTTGTTAAACAAAAATGCATAGCATTGCAACTTTGCATTCATACGGCAGGTTTACTCATGTAGGCATCATCAAGTGTTGAAGATGTTTTCCCTCAGTTTGTAGGTTCCCAGGTATTATGCTCCTTTAATACTAAAGCTTTAAAAGAAAAAGATGTCAGACCGAGAATGTTTAAGGCAATCAAAATAAGCATGCATAGACCTTTTGAAGGTGATGTTTCTGCGTGCATTGTGCCACAAACATAGCTGGAATTTTGCATTGAACTGATTTTTTTATATTTTTTGCATGCCCACCTCCTCACATAAAGTCTTCATGCTCTTTCATTTTAAAGCACATGACTTGATGCAAGACCTGGAATTAAAAGCATAGCATATTTTCTGATTATCTGCAGCAATAAAATCAATGGTTCTATCAATGAAGCATCCACTTGATTAATTTAGAATTGAAATGATCAGCATGACCTTTAAACTTTAAAAGCCAGGTAACACAGAGGTAAATCCGATGCACTCAAGCACACCTTGCTTGCTGGTGTGAATAATGTCCTTTTTGTAATTTCATTCATGCATGTGAGAAATTACCACATTCTACTCAATCATCCACTTGTACAACAAAGTAGAGCAACCAAATTTGGTGCACAAAGAATTTGAAAAAGAATACTTATTGTTCAATTAAACAGATAATGAGTAAGACCAATTTCATAAACCAATTCAAATATTTTTAGAGGTGCTATATCATATATGACTCCGACCCAAAATGAGGCTGGGTTATTTTGGGACAGCAACACAGATGACTGAACATGGTCGTTATTATTATGAACGCTCATTAATAATCTAAGCTTATCTTTCGAATAAAAGAAGCTAAATACATTCTGAAGCCTAATGTCAATAATAGATACATGT